CCCTATCCCCCTGTGTGCCTTGCCAAAGGAAAACATGACATGGAAAACAGCAAAAACACCCAAACCTACAAAACTATAAACGTGACATAACATGAGAATCGTGACAATGTGTTAGGGTTTTTGGGCTAGGTCTGTCCAAAAGCAGGATTATTTCATTTAAAGTGGACCTATCATGCTATATTTGAATAATATATTGTAGGGCCATACCTATATAAAACATGTCTGAACAGATCATGCATTTTAGCCATGCCTCATTTCGCTCTATTTACTGTATTCCAGCCCTGTCTTCACACGGGCTGATTCTGTGGCAAATGAGCTGCAGCTGACCACGCCCCCCTGCAAAGGAGGGGGGCGAGGCACGAGCGTCATGTTACCATGCTGTTACCATGCTGTTACCATGCCGCAACCTCTCATTCCCCTGATAGGTGGAGAGTTGCCCATATAGGCGGAGCTCCCCATTTCTGACGTCAGAGATATTTCAAATCTGGATCAGTCTGTATCAGATCCGTTGCAGCCCCGTTTTTAGAGATTTGGGTATGGAGGAAAAGAGAGAGGGTTGTGTTTTCTGACTTGGTGAGTTCCCTGACACACCGGGGACACATATTCATGTATAAAAGACGTACAAAAATGCATTTTACATTATAGGTCCCCTTTAACATTTGACGTGACCAGGTGGCAGCTTCATGCTGCCTGAGAGACTTTCAATTGCACTTGTTTCGATGCTTTAAGGCCAGTGAGAACAATAGCTGGGGCCAAAGATGTCAGATCTGTCTGCTGCAGGACGACTGGGTTGAATTCATGCTTCTATGTTGTTAGAGACAAAGTATTCAGTGAATCAGAAACCAGAGTGCGGAGTCCTTGAATCTTTTTGTAAAGCCTGTGTTATTTTAAGATGGTTGTTTTCAATCTATTTACAGCTGCTCCTTGTTCAGTTATGATCGTCCCTGAAGAAGAAAGTAATCAAGGCCAAAGGCGTGGTATGAGAACTTCACTCACTTAATTGGTCCTTACTTTCCCTTGGGGGGTAAAGAATTGTCATCATATCCTTTCTGGTGAAAGGCATCAAATTGATATAAGAAAGATTTTGTTCATAACTTGAAGACTGATGTTGAATTGGAGAGAGTATAGGAAAAAACATTATAAAGAAGGTATGAGGCAGAAGGGACATTTTGAGGGAGCTCGAGCACTTATGCTGAAAAACCTGAATTCTATTTGGCTTGGGTGCAAAGACAAAAAAAAAACATTCCGTCCTCTTAAATGGGAAGTAAAATGTCCAGAGAGACTGTAAATTGAGCTTTTACCGCTGAGTGGAGCAAAGTTCGCCACAATCTGGCTCTTTGTCTTGATTGAAGACATTTTGAAAATGTTAGAGTCAGTTAAAGTCGGATTGACCATTTTATCGTACAGGACTCATTTTGGAAAATTGTCTTATGGACATTTTGGCCTTCTTGAAAGAGGAACATGACCACGTCAAGAGTCACAAACCATGAAACGGCGCTGAGAACTTTTCAAAGATGCATCACAGAAGCATGTTTTGTTCTTCCAGCTTGTCCTTCCTGCAACAAAATGTGCATTACAATGTGTACACGTGTTTTTGCCGGCAATATATAGTTAGTATCAATTATCTTATAAGTTATTATTAAAAATCGTTTTAAATGAATAAATAAAGTACTTATTGCATTGACAATAAAAGTAAGAAGAAAGAAGGCTTTATATTAAATCATTGGTGTTATAACGCAATTCATATAGATGTATGGCCTTGTTTGTGGTAACACATTTAAAGCGAAGCTCGCCTCCCTTTTTCAACATCGGATTTAAAAAAGGACTTTTAGTTCCCTTTCCTCCATAGAATATCTGTGAGCATTTGTATATAGTCATGTCCTGAGAATTTGGAATGTCAGTGTGACAGTATGGAAAAGAATATAATTAATTGAACAGTTGACTAAATAAACTAAACTGCCATCTTTTACATTACGGCTGCAAGTTCTAGTTCAAAGCTTCATACTAAGTGAGAGTAGCAGCTGAGTCACCGTCTCTGTCACAGTCTGCATGATGAGCCTGTGCAAAGTGGTTGAGCTTTCACCAGCATCCTCTCAGTGAGGATTGTTTAAGACCTTGACATGGCATTGGCCTTTCCACTGCAAAAACATCCTCCAATTCAGATTGTGTACAGTTAGTGATAATCAACAGCACATACTGTAATATCCTGCTCAATCCTTACAAGTTTAGTATTGGTTGATTGTATCATCTGTACTGAGCAAAAACCATCTAATAGCAATCTGGAGCCTTTTGTTGATGTATGAGCCTCAAGTTCTCCGAATTGTGTGCATAGTTCCTTTTTCTGTGACAACAATGTGAGCGGTCTGCCACAGAAGTCTTTCTTTTCACAACACAGCAAGCCACAATGTGGTGCAGCAATTCAAACAGTGTGTGTGTGTGTGTGTGTGTGTGTGTGTGTGTGTGTGTGTGTGTGTGACACACACACACACACACACACACACACACACACACACACACACACACTGTTTGAATTGCTGCACCACATTGTGGCTTGCTGTGTTGTGAAAAGAAAGANCACCCATATGAAACAAAAATGTATACATTTAAATAATCATAAAATCATAAGTACATGGCCATAACCAATAACATACAATATCCAATATGAAAAAACATTGAAACTTGTTTATTTATTTGTTTTTGGTTCATTTATAGTTGTGAGTGTGTCTGGGCTCCTGAATCGGCCTCTCCTGTCTCCCTCCTCTCCCCCCTGCTCCTCTTTGAGGCAACAGCAAAGACTAGTTTTAGCTCTCAACAAGTTTATCTTACCTTTTTTCACCTAGTTAACATTTTGTTTGTATTATTCATGCATATTTTACTAATCACTACCCCCTCAAATGGAAATATGTGTTTACATAAATGGTGACCGAACCGTTTGAGACCCACTGAGATAACTTAAACTAAGTTAACTATCTAAAGACTCAGAGAGTAATTTACCTCACCAGAGCTGTAGTTATCAGCCTCTCAGTCTGACAGCAAAGGACTCTCCCTCCACCTTGTTGTTGAAACAGCTCCTTATATGCGTTAGCGCAGCTAGCTAGCACCAGATGCTAACAACAATACACGTAACCGGTGCGCGCGCTTTCTCGCTCGCTCGCGCCACACATACACCAACACACACCCTCCCGAGCTTGAATGACACACAGAGACCAATGGAGGGCATTAGTATGATCTGTATGAAAGTGGCAATGTCGGCAGGCCACGTCATGTAGACAGCCAGTCACCCTCTGTGAGGCAGAGTCAGACCCACATTTGCGCTGCGTTGCGTTTACAATATATACGTATATTGCCGGCGGCTGAGTACCGGCATTTTACCGGTACTCAGTAAGAAGTGCCGGTACCACATGGGTAAAAATCAGAAGTGCCGGTACTGCGTACCGGTGAGTACCGGCCCAATTCAAGCACTGGAAGTAGCATTACTAATTGGTGAAGTATATTTTTTACTCCTAAAGATAGGAGCCAAATTAGTATTTAGCCGTTGTTTATTATTTATATTATTATCATCTTAATGGAATTACCTGTGGTGTGTTGTTGACAAAGAGCATGACTGCTCAGATATTATATGCATTAGTTTTTTTTTTAAACATCTTAAAACTTTGACTTTAGGACCTACTCTTCTCTGGAAGGCCTCACAGCAATGAGCCAAGTTTAGCCTCTTAGCAACACCATTTATTAGAAACTTGGTTGCTATAGAATCAATAGCAACCAAATGTCTATAGATACACTATAGTTATTATATATGTCAACTTACTTGACTGTACTATTTTTACAACTTCTTAAAGAAATACTGCATTTTAATTATATTTAAAGTGAACTTAAAAGGCATATAAAATCTTATTCATCATAATGTATGTATTAACTACATATTTTTGACTGCATTATGAATATATTTCACATGTTTTCATAGTTATCGGAAACATTTATTGAAATATACTTGTTCTTAAAAAGGTACTGCATTTCTTAGTTAAATGTGTACTTATTCAGTCAACTTAAATGTATTTCATCATATCTTTAGTAGCACTAATTGTAGGCCTACATTTAAAAATAGCATACTTTTAGTTTATCGCGTGCATCGAAACAGCTACGAATATTAGCCTTGCTATTGATAGAAAGTGCTGAGAGGATGCATGCTGTTTTTTAATTTAATTTCCTTGTGTGCACTTTGTGTGAACCAAAATAAAAATGATTCTATGTGTTTGTCAGGTACGAGTTGTCATCGCCTTGGTGTACCTGGTGGTGTGTGTCCTGGGGCTTGTGGGTAACCTCCTGGCTCTGTTCCTGCTCCACTCGCACCGCTGGGGCCAACACCACTCGTCTATCGACTGCTTCGTGATGAGCCTCGCGCTGACAGACCTCCAGTTCGTCCTCACCTTGCCCTTCTGGGCCGTGGACACCTTGCTGGACTTCCGCTGGCCCTTTGGCCGGGTCATGTGCAAGATCGTGAGCTCGGTCACCACCATGAACATGTACGCCAGCGTCTTCTTCCTCACCACCATGAGCGTGACGCGCTACCACTCTCTGCTCACCTCGATGAAGATGAGCAGCCCCAAGGTTGCTAATGCTCGTGCCAGGTGTGCCAGTTTAATTATTTGGGTGGTGTCACTGGTGGCTACGTTGCCTCATGCTTTCTACTCCACCACAGTCCAGGTTTGTTGCATTTACACTTAGACCGATTTAAATTGCAGCAATACAAACTTTTTGTTCAAAATCTTTCATTCAATTGAATGGGCGTTATCAGTGGTTATCAGCCACATACAGGTGGTTCAAAAGGGCCTCCTCAACCAACTATTGGTTTTTATCATCTATTCACAAAGAAATCACCATTAAAAGAAGGTGACCCTGACCACTAGTGACCGTATTAACAATCATTCTGTTTCCTAAACTTAACAAAGTTGTTTTTTATGTTGGAAATGTGACTGTTGATTCAAATTGAGCGTTAATGACTGAAATCACAAATGTAACTGGCTGTGTAACGTTCAAAATATGTGTTCTGTTGGAGGGAGTTAGCAAACCTGTTATGTTGTTTTTGTGTTACAGGTGTCTACAGATGAAGAGCTGTGCTTAATGCGCTTCTCTGACTCCGACTCAGGTCACTGGGATCCTCAAGTCCTGCTTGGACTCTATCAAACACAAAAGGTTCTCCTTGGATTTGTAATTCCCTTGACCGTGATCTCTGTGTGCTACCTCCTTCTCCTGAGGTTCATCCTGAGCCGACGCATCGTAGGCAGCATGGAGAGCGGGACCCTCACAGAGAGGTCAGAGTGTGAGAGAGGACGCCACCGCCGCCGCCGCTCCAAAGTCACCCGCTCCGTCACAATCGTAGTTCTGTCATTCTTCAGCTGCTGGCTGCCTAACCAGGCTCTCACTCTGTGGGGGGTGCTGATCAAATTTGACTTGGTGCCCTTCAGTAAAGCCTTCTACAACGTCCAGGCTTACGCCTTCCCCCTGACTGTGTGTTTAGCTCATGCAAACAGCTGTCTCAACCCCGTGCTCTACTGCCTGATCCGAAAAGAGTACAGAGCAGGACTGAAGGAGCTCCTGCTGAGCGTGTCCCGCTCCGTCCGAAATGTTCTCAATAGGACTCTGAGAGGGAGGAGAGTGGAGGACATCGTCATGTGATTTACTCTACATGTGGTTCATATAATTCTTCGCTTGCTTGCTGAGCGTTGAGAAAACTGATACCAACCTCATGTTTGTAAGCTTAATATGATGCCACAGCCAGCAATGAAATGGAGGGAGAGCTAGCTTCCAAAGGCTCACTAACACATTTGGTCTCATTTGGTCACTTAACCCTTGCAAAAACAAAGCGAAAAGATGACAATCTGTCCAATTATTGTTACTGTGCACTGTTGCCTCTCTCTCTGTGAACTAAGGCCACAGCTAAAATGTAGGCGCATGATTTCCAAAAGTAAGCAGCAAGCCAATTAGTGAAGTGTTCACATAACTGTGCACAAGCAGATATGCATTGGAAAGGCCGGTTTCCCAGTTTAAAGCTAAACTAACGAGGTGACCAGTGAGCTTTAGAGGTGCTGGACAGCTGACTTCATTATTTTTTTACAAAACCAAGCTAGCCATTACCTCCTTTTTCTATTCTTTGTTCTTAGAACACTCCAGTGCAAAGGCACATCTCCCAAGATGTCAAACTGTTTTGTGCCAAATTGACTTTGGTGCCATTTTTTAATCATGTTCCTGTGTGACACTATTGTGTCATTATTTTTACATTTGCACAGAAACCTGAACAGCAGGGTTAGGGTTAGAGTTAGGGTTAGTTCATTATTTCCGTTTTCCCACTTTGGAACTGATCTCCTTGATGACAACTACATTCTTGGAAACGATCAAACCCCTGATTGAGCCCACTCTTAGTGACAATGGCAGCAAACAAAATACCATGTGTTGTTTAAAAGATGTTAAACTGTAAAGTTATTTTTTTACATTGCATCTACATATGCCATCATTAGGATGGTATGTTTGTTCATTTTCACTAGGATTGATGTGTTTAATATTTGTGTAATTGTTGCTAAGTCAATAAGGAAACTACAGTTAAAGCATGAACCTGCCGTCTTTCGTGTCTCTCTGCCTTGCCGTGCCACCGTGAGTCATTTTGTAACTGCCCAGATGTAATGTGACATTAAATAAAATGAGAGGACAAAAGAGTCTAGTGACGTCTCTGGAAAGTTAATCTCGTCTGAAGTCAAAACAGCCTCAAAATGTGAAAACAAGAAAATTAGTCTCAACACACACACACACACACACACACACACACACACACACACTACGACAACACACTACACAACACACTACACACACGACTACG